ATACAGGGTACTTCTTTCACCCTATAGCCAATAAAGAGAAGAACAGCAACAACATAGTGTAGAAATGTAGCTAAGATTTCTAATTGCTGCTGTCGATGAATTTCAATTGTATGAAGATATCGCTTATATCTATTTATTATTACTTAGTCAACTATGTCTGAGAGAAAACGCCCTTCTGGAGCTCAAAATTGTAAACGGAAGGCAGAACAGAAGTAAAGAAGAAGCTAAACAAGAAGGAATCGTTTCTTAGTATCTAAGTACTCAGAAATCAAATGAACAGACTAGAATGATGGTAGTTTGGTTGAAATTGATGACATCTCTAATTTTTGAAGGATCCGTCACATCCATATTAAAAATTCTTAAAATTTTCTAAGAAAAAGAATTCAGAATTCTTAAGAGTTGTGAAACGAATTTCCTAAGTGAATATATAGAATCTGCAGATAGCGTATTTATTTTCTCATAACCTGCAATAGATGTAGGTGTACAAATCAATAGGGACGTGTTAATTATTAAAATCTTCGTATTTTGAGTCATTGAATAAAATTTATTTGGGAAATAGGTATTCAACTTGGGAAATTTTAGTAAATTCTTTTCACAATCCGTATAATTCCAAACAATTTTCTCTTAGGAAATCTTAGAAGTTTTTAATTGAGGAATATGTAACAGAAAAATATAGCAATAAAAGTATCTATTAATAGAATAACAATTGAAAAATATCATACTATGATATCTTAAATCATTATATTAATGTACACATTTAATTAAGATTTACAGACCGCAGATGTATCTGAAAACGACCAGCGGAGAAGAGTTTGTAAAACTTCTAGTGAACTTACTGTAAGCTGATGGGCTTTTCAGCAAATTTAAATTATGAAGATCCTGCCAAATGGCTCAATGTTGAACTGCTAATGAACGACAGTTGAGAGTACAACATGGACCACAGCAGGGTTGAATCACACAATTTCCCGCGGGATTCAACAACAGAAGATTTTCCCTGCTCACTATATGCGAAGATTAATTAATAACGAAAAAGCTTTTCGTAAGTGGTTGGAGTACTCAGTGTCAGCTGATGCAGTTTTTTTGCTTTTGCTGCAAATTGTTTAGTAACAAAAAGTGTGGATCAGTTTTACAAGAAACAGGCTCTAAAGACGAAGACATTGGAGTATTCTTTCTTCACACGAGCGAAATATTCACACATTTGGGAGACTATCAAACTTGGCGTGAATTCGATATGCGCTAACTGAAAGAAAAACAATAGATGATTCTACTCAACAAGTATGTTTTCAAGAGGAACACTATTGGCGTCAAGTTTTGGAACGGTTGATTACTTTGGTTACAGTACTTGCGGTGCAAAATTTAGCATTTCCGCGGGACGGGAGAAACATTTATACAGCTCGTAATAATGGAATTTTTTTAAAGTTCGTAGAGTACTTGGCTTCTTTTCATCCAATCCATGAAAAGAGCATGTGCGTAGAACTCAAAATAAGGAGATAATGGTCCACTACTTGGAAAGGAAATCCAAAATGAACTTATTCATCTTCTAGCCACGAGTATAAAGGAGCAGATTTTAATTCGCGCGAATTCAGCAAAATATTATTCAATTATATTGGATTGTACCCCGATGTTAGCCTTGCTGAACAAATGACGACGATATTACGTTTCGTTGAAGTGATTCACCCAGACTCTAAAATTGTCATAAGAGAACATTTTTTAGGGGTTCGTACCGTTGCAAGAGACTACAGGTGCTTTATAGCAGACACTCATTTTAAATAGTTAGAGGAACTGGGAG